AGCAGTGAATAAGAGTTTACTGGGGTCTTAATTCCTAAAAATGAATAGAATTCTCATATACTAATATGCATATGTATCAGGGTTACTGATGTGGCTCAATACGGAAACACATCAATGGTCATTTACAACATAAAAATTTACTCAAAAGACAATATGATCTAGTGAACTGGACTGTGGATTGGGACTAAAACACCTGGGCTCTGTTCTCAACTCTGCCACTGCCTTCCTGTCTGACCTTTAGTATGTCACTTCACCTCCCCCCTCCCTTTTAATTCTCCTCCTATGCTTCAGCTGTCTTGTAAACTATGCTGTAAACACACTAACTTTTCTATCACAAGTAGTCCCATTGAAATTCAAATTCCTCATGGCAGTAAAGATAAGCATGTGTTTGTAGGATCCAAGTCACAGATTGTAAACTCTCTAGGGCAGTGATTCCCAAATTTTTCGGCATCATGCCCCCTTTTTGATTTTTGAGAAACCCTCATGCCCCCCTCCCAAAAATACAGCAGCAAAACTTGGGGTGGGATTGACGGGGGAGGGGTGGAGGGCTGAGTTGCCTTGCCGAATTTCTTCAGGCTCCCCCAGTTTGGGAACCCATGCTCTAGAGCAGAATCTGTCTCTTATTCTGTGGCTGTATGGTGCCTAACACAAAGGGAGCCCTGTAGGCATACAACAATATAAAATACAAAAAGTAAAATTAACACTGTACATTATTTCAAAGGAAGGGAAGCATCAGAATGAAAACAAACGTCTAAACTCTCTCTGATCAGTATTTGTCACCCCTTCCCCTCATGATATTAATTCACAGATATATAGATCAGGGGCAAATCATGACCTTACTCCTGCCCTTCTTCAGCAAGTTACTTAGGAACATGTTTAGTTTCACGTGAGTAGTCAATTCAACAAAAATAGTCATGTGCATCTAGACATACTTAAAAAGAGGGTCTTTGCAAGATGAATTTAATGAGTCTACACATGTAAGAAAAGCAAAATTTGTTCCTGATCAAAGGAAAAGGTTTCAGACTAGAGCTTAACTATTTGCTAAACAATATATATATCCCCTAGCATCACATATTGAAAGTATCCACAAATACCATCAATCTGATGTGACTAACACACATGTTTCAAAGGAAAAACAATTTAGCTATGAAAGAGGTAACATGGTTTTTATTCAGACAAGTTATGTTTGGATACAATTGAGGCAGGCTGCTCAATGAATACTCTTTTGGGTTTGTTGTTCTAACAAGAAAACATTAAAATGCCATTTAAACTTTGATTTGTTTTAATTTAGAAGAAATGGGGACTGGGTGAACATAGGCTATGACCCACGATAGCACTCAAAATATACAACTGGCATATGTAACAATATACCAGTTAGGCTTTTTAAATAAGTGTAACAAGGTCAGTAAGAAGTTGTATACCATTACTTGAGGATGGATTTTGCATCTTAGTTTAATTTTTTTAAATTTTCAATTATGGATGTAACTTTCATATTTGTGTAAATGTGTAGCTGGATTTTTTAAAAGTTGCATGAAGGAGAACACAGGAAATCAGCTGTCTCAGCTCCTCCCCCGTTGCGCTTGTGCTTTTCTAATGTAGTCGCCAGGAGGGTGGCTGAAGTGCAGTGGGGGGGAGGGAAGGGGAGAGCACGGAGGGAACAGGTATGAGCCAGGGCAGCTGATTCCCAACTCACACTCAGTCCCCGGCTACGCCTCTGCCTCCCCTTCCCCACCTCCCACCCCCCGCGGAGACAGTGCTGCAGGGAATTGGCTTTTAAGCTGGCTTACCCCTCCCTAGCACTGGCTCCTGCTCCCCCCCTTGTTGCCTCTAATAGAGGCAGCAATGGGGGAGAGGGGTAAGTCAATACTTGAGTCAATACTCGACTATCCGATAAGCTTAGTCAACTAGTCACTTACATCCCTAGCAAGGAACCAACTTGAATGCCGCTTCCCATGTGTACTGGCTCCCACCTGCCCCCCTCACCTCTTGTACTGCTGCCTCTGTGGGCAGGCAGCTCAGTGAGAGACCTGCTCCCACCTCCACCCTCTTTGCTGCCTCTGATACAGAGGCAGCAAGGGCGGGGGCTGTGTGTAGTTGTAAGGACTAACTGATAAGCCTAGGCTTATCAATTAATCGTGTAACCAACTACATGCGAACATCAATACAAACTGGACATTTTAAACAATTTCTTGAACTAGATAGCACTTTCTCTGCTTAAGGAATTACACACCTCACTTTTTTAACACTGAGTTATTATAGTCACTTCCATTTTCTAGTGGAGTGTAATGGGTCAATCCTTCAATGGACTGCAAGAGCTATGCTTCAGTTCTTGCAGAATCTGGTTCTAAGTTTGGAATAAACTGTATTTCAGTGCCAACTAGTCAACAAGTTCAGACTTCCATGTATGAGCACCTACATATTAAAATACAATATCTAAATTAGAGACTTATTTTTAAAATATTATAATGAATTTATAGTTATCATGCTGGGCCTTAATATATACTTCTCAGATCCATTTAAATACAGCTGTAGGTTTACAATAAATAACACACACAAAATTACATTTGTACTTCCCAGATTAAAAAGTTGTCTTACTATATTTCTCAAATTAAGAGCTCCCCACAAGCATTGGTTCCTGCCTGCCTTCCTCCTTCCCTCTCCCCCTCCCCCCATCACAGCTGCCTGATACAGAAGCAGCAGCACAGGAGGAGGGGGATGAGAGGCAGCTCCTTGTGTGCCAACAAGTACAGGGGGCTGGCTTGAAAACCAGCTTCCCGCAAGAACCAGCTCCCACCTGCTCCGCCACCCCCGTGCTGCTGCCTCTCTATCAGAGGCAACAGCGCAGGAGGGGAGGGAACGTGGCTCTATGGGAGCCGTTAAAAGCCGGCTCCCCATGAGCACCAGCTCCTGCCTGATATAGAAGCAGCAAGGAGGTGATGGTGCATGTAATCATTAGGATTAACCAATGAGCCCAGGCTTATCAGTTAATTGTGTGAACGAGTACACACTAACATCCCTACTGTAGACCACACCTTAGAGGGTTTACCTAGATAATCAAACCAATTTACCTTACAAATGATTAATCTAGCCCCCATCACTTAAAAAAAAAATCAAAATTTAATTAGTTCTACTATTATTAAATCACTGGGGACAGACACTAGTCATACTTTAAAGCACAAGTTTTCATAAAAGGGGATCTGAGCCAGATTTTACCCTCAGAAACGAGGCATCTTACTTGACCACTACAGTGCTCTCTGTTTGAATTCACCATTGAGTTTCTTTCCTGCCATCAGATTCACCACAGGACTCACGGAGTCCTCTATGTTTATATTTATAAAAAGCATTACTGAACCAAACGACTGAAGAGAAACCAGACAAACTGGATTCTCATGCATAGGTTTGCAATATAATTTCTACTTCAATAAGGTTGCACACCAATAACTGAAAGCAGACTTTGGCTCAGTGGTTACTGGCTACTTTTCAGCAGTGCTTTATGTGGCCATGAAAATATTGGAAAACAGTCTGCCCACCTGCATTCCAACCTAACTCCCACAGTTTCTTTCTGTGAGTAGGTAAATAAAACCTATTGCAGAATATCAACATTTAAGATTAATAATAAAATCAACTGTGTATCTGATTAAAATATTTTTTCTGGTTTACAATACAGATCCCACTGTTCCCTACCCGCACCTTGACTACAATACAACTCTATTGTTTCAAAAATAATGCTAAAAAATATCCTGGAAGGGAGGGGCAGTATTTAAATCTTATATTTGAAGCAGTATTTTCTTAAAGGAACATCAGTAATTTCCTTATTGATATAATTCATGATTCTCCAAGATAAATCCACAACAGATGTGAATCTCCTCTGAAATTTACATACAGTACTATTGCACACCACAACTATTATGTTAAAAGTTGAAAAGTTGTCATTAACACCCTGAACATCCCATGACATGTCACACTTGAAGACAAACGGCTATACCTTCTAAAAGCAGAGGCAACAAACTTGATAAATACAGTAAAACTCCATTAGTCCGGCATCCAATGCTCTGGGACTCCTGATGGTCCGGCACCATCAGGAACCCGGAAGTGCTGGGGCAGCCGG